GAGAGCTTGTTTCATTGTATTGGATGTGGTCCTGTGCTGAGAACCTGCCTGCATCTGACACAGGATTTCACGTGGGGCCTTGCCCCTAAGGGAAGTCTCCTGGCATTTTTTTTTTCCCCCCTCGATGTCCCTGCACATCACAGCTTGGCTGTTCCTGTGCCTCACATAATTCATCACTTCCAGCATTGCAGGCAGGCAGTGTAAAAAAAGATGATAAGCAATTATATTCATGTCAACAGTGACAGTGGCTTTCTTCCTGTTTCTCATGTATTACTGCTCTTGTGTTTGCGAATAGAAGAAATCTCTGGTTTTAGTTGGCTTTCATTTTGTTAGACAAGAGTGGTTTTGAAAGAAATTGTATATAAAATGAGTAAGTTTATTTTTCTACTACAGACCTCTTGAAGTATTATTTCAAAGCCCATCCATGTTTACTGCTTGAGATGCCTGTACTGTGTATTTTTTAAATAACTCTTTGGCATACCTCTCACAACTTTCTGAAGAGGTGCAGACAAGTTTGCAGAAGTATTAATTATGCCATCTGCTAAGCCATACACACCAGACTTTGTGGAGCACATTTCCTCATAATCTTGTATGTTTTGCCCAAGGAAGATCACTGCACCACGGTAACCATGGCTTTCTAGAGATTTCTGATTTAAATAAACACTTTTCCCTTCTCTAGTTCAGTTACCAGCCAGAGCTCTGAACCCTCGGTGTCACTGTGCATTTAAGTTATTTTTTACATTTTGTCAAAGGTTTGGCAGCAACGATGGTTGTCGGAAAGGGCCTTTATTCCACTAATGTTTTCGAGACCCGTGCAGTTTCCTCTTCCTCTGATGTTGCGGTTCTGTGGGTTTGGTCATAACTAACTTGGCACATTCATCTTCTCCTATGAAAATTTAATTGTAGAAGCACTACGTGAAGATCTTTATGGTATTTGTAATCTAATTCCAGATTCATAAATCTCCCCTTCTTATTTGGTGAAAGGGACATTATTGAAATCTTGTAGCTGTTCTTCAATTGCTTGAGATACATACCATTACCCTACCTTCAGGAACCTCATTCCTGGAACAAAAATTATTCGGAGAGCATCACGTTACAGATTAATGTCAAGGAAAAACTTTTCAGAAAATACTGGTGTCATCTCTTGTGTTCATCTTTTGTCCTGAGAGAATCAGAGCAGTGTCTGTCTTATCAGCAAGTTTATTCTTTAGTTGATCTTAGTAGATAATGTTTATTTATTTATTTATTTATTTATTTTACTGTGAGGGTAGCCAAACACCAAAACACGTAGCCCAGAGAGGTTGTGGAGTCTCTGTCCTTGGAGTTACTCAGAAGCTGTCTGGACACAGTCTTGGGCAAGTGGCTCTCACTGGCACTGCTCTAGCAGGGACGTTGAACCAGGTGACCTCCAGAGGTCCCATCGAATGTCAACCATTCTGTGAATCTCTGAAACCTCTCTCCAGGGAACATCTGCTCCACAGTACTTTCAGAGCTGTTACCGCAAGAGCAGCTGTTTCATGGAGTCATTCTGCCAAAAATGTGCAAAGTAATTTATGCTTCTACATTGCATTTCAAACAGAAAGAGCAGTCACATACATGACTCTTTTGAAAGATGTTTGTCCAATTTTTGGAATAGCTTAAATGATTGGTGTTATTCACCAAGGTTGCTTGAATGTATTCCAAATATACTGAAAACTAGTGTGAAGCAGTGAGGTACAATTTCAAAATCACTTATCAAAGTGTGTTCTTGCATTGTGGACTGGGGAGAGGCCAACAACAGATATGTCAGATCTGTCCACTCTTCTAGATATGTGAAGTACAGGTACAACTTTATAGCTTATCACTTTATTCGTCCCGCACTTTTTTCTTCTGGACTGTGATTTGAACTTGACACAGTGTTAAAAACTTTCAGTCTTCTTTCTGTGTACTGTCCTTTCCTCTTCATGGTTTTATTTTGTTAGTTCAGTTTTATTTTGCGGGGCATTGTGTTTGTGATAGTTTTGTTATTCTTTCTTTAATCTGCCTTCAGTACAAATTGAAAGCATAATCTGGCCTTACAATCCAGAGAGAACAAAGTAAATACACTGAGTGGCTAATATAAGTCACTTAGCCTTTTGTACAGTTATTTTGTGTGTCAAAGGCTGCTATGTGACTGAAAGGTCAGGCGATCCTTTCTTTCAGCTAGCATGATCCCTCTTCAGCAACTTCTTTTCTAAGCATTCAAGCGTTGTTGTTTAGATGCCTGTGCTTGAGCTTAAGATGTGCTCCCTCCCATCATCTGGAGTTACAGCTGTTTTTTTAGTGAAATTTATGAATAGACATTGTCCGTGGGTCCTTGCGTGAAATTGCCTTTGCCTGTCTAATCTGAATTCTCTCTGATGTTGTAGGCAGTCTTTATTTAAAGATACTTGCACTGTGTAGGCTCCTGTTCTGAGCAGCCTTGGCAACTGAGCCGGTTTGCTGAATTTTGGCTGCATTAAAAAAAATTAAAATCTCTTCTTTGCCTATTCTTAGGAAGTCTATTAAAGGAGATTTTTGAGGAGGAGGGTAAAGAAGGTGTAAACATGCTTTTTTAAAAGTCCTTTTTGTACTAGGGAGGCCTAAAAACTTAGCCTTTAGAAATGGTGGGAGAGCTATACAGAGTTATCCGTAATTTTTCAGGAAGTTAATTTGGCTAATCAAACAAAACTTTTGAGGTTTTGAAAATGGCTTTTATCCTGAATTGGGGTGAAAATAATATTTGCAGATATGAAATCCTCTGATTTTTTAGAAGTGGGAAAGCTTTGAGAGGTGTCATCCTGGAAGGGCTGGTGGCTGGGTGGCCACTGCTCTGTGGGAAGCCAGACAGAAAAGCCGCAGGGCAAAGGCATGTTTTCCTGTCAACTCTCTTTTCCCTTGAAAGCTGAGCAAAATCTACAGAATCCTGCAAATACCCTTTTTTCTGCCATTTGAGAAAAAACAGCATTTTCAGACATGTGCGGAAAAATCTTCTGTCGGCTTTGGAGGTAACCTTTGGCTTTTAGAGTGGGTAGTATTTAAATCCTGGTTAGCATTGGGGAAGGTAGGAGTAGTGTGATCATTTGTTTTGTACAACTCAACGGTTAAATCTGTTATCCAAGAAGCAACTGTCTAAACAAGTTGCACGGTTTGTTTCCTCTGCTACTGTTTATTTAAAAGATTGCTTTCTGAGTAGGTATTTTAGTTTGTCGTACATCTCATATTTGAAATAATGAAGAGACACCAAGTTCCTTTCATAATAGCTGATGAGAGTTTCTCTGTTGCACAAATTAAACAGGAGTTAACTTGCTCTTTTACCCCTGCGCTTGACTCTTTCGAGTGTGTTTGTGTAGTTTTCTGCTCTCCTAACAGAATGAAAATGTTCACAGATACCAGAATGTCCATCCAAATATTTCTTTATCAAGCAGCGAGGTAGAGTACTAGTGTCGTGTTGTAGATCATTTGCTTCCTCATGGTGACAGTGCAGTCTCCCAAGATGAGGTGATAACATTACGCTAATGTGTGTGGCAAGAGACTTGTCACAGGGTGAGGGTAGCGTGACTGCAGGGTTCCTGTAGGGAGATGGACCTGAGCTCAGCATAGAGGAGCCACTTCTTTTTCTTCTGCCTTCTCCACTTCTCTCTGCAGAGCAAAAGGGATACCCAGCAAGTGGGTACAAGCAGAAAGCAGTGGAATTCCTTGGACATGCTTTGCAGGTTTTATGTATAGGTAGAAGGCAATGGCTCTCTTACGCTTAGCATTAGTGCTTTCTGTTCAGTTAGCACTATGTTGTCCAGCTTATTCCCTGAAGGGATTTCTGAAATCCGTTCAAAATCTATCCACCCCTCCAAAGAGGTGCATGATTGTGTGTTATTTCTCATACAGTCCTAATTTGCATGTATAAGTAACATTGTGCAGATTCTGGGAATGAGAAATATAAATTTGTAGAAGTAAACCAGCGGTGGCATGCATTTTAGGTGCTTCCAGGTTAGGTTTAAACTAAGTTTTATCTTCTGTGGGGGAGTATTGGAGTTGGGAACCATCACCAAAACCCACACAGTTTGAAGAGGGGCTCCCCTCAGCAGCAAGTGGCTGCACTTATAAGCTCATCCGAGGGCTGCCATTCATGACATAAAAATGCAGTTCTGTGCTACTGGTCTGATCCTTATCAACCATATGCAGTGAGCTACAGTCCCTAAATGTGTCTGGCAGTACTGTTTTATAACATTCAAATTAGAGTGTGCTGTCTTCCCCATTGAAATATCACTAAGTTTGAGAAAGACACTTGAATTTTGTGAGAAATGGGAAAGAGGAATTAAATTTTTGATGCTAGGCTTGGAGCGTGAACCAAATTGCTGACAAGAGACTACTTAATTTGGAGCAAGGGCCACAAAGATGATTAATGGACTGGAGCATCTGTCATGAGGAGAGGTTGCAAGAGCTGGGACTGTTCAGCCTGCAGCTAAAAAGGCTCAGTGTGTATAAACACCTGGTGGGATGGAATGAAGAAGAAACAGCCAGGCTTTTCTCAGTGGTGCTTGCTGACTGGATGGAAGGCAGTGGCACAAAGTGAAGCATGTGAAACTGATTTGAATGCAAGAAACCACTCTTTTCTTTTCTTTTCTTTTCTTTTTTTTTTTTTTTAAACTGTGAGGGTGGCCAAAGACTTGAGCAGGTTGTCCCCACGAAGGCTGTGAAATCAATCATCTTCTGTGGAGATGCTGAAAACCTAGCTGGACATGGTCTTGGACAACCTACTCCAGCTGACTGTGCTTCAGCAGAAAGGATGAAAGAAGCTTGCTGGAGAGGGAGATCCCTTCTAACTTCAACGGTTCTGCAAAAGTTTTGTTGGTTTTGTCCTCAACATTATATTAACCTACTAGTTACACAGATTGACTTCAGTTGTCTCAATACGTGATAGGTTATACTGTGCTCTTCATTGCCATATGAATATGAAGCGTATGTAAACAATTTGCCTTTTTTTTTTTCTTTCTCCTTTCTAGGTTCTGGGAACGCCTACAAGGGAGCAAATTAGAGAAATGAATCCAAACTATACTGAATTCAAATTCCCTCAGATTAAGGCACATCCATGGACTAAGGTGAGTCTATATGAAATGAGTAATGAAGACATGTGGGCTGAAAGTAAAAATTTGAGGAGTTCAGTTTGTTCAGTGACTTGGTGGCCTTCAGTTTAAACTGGGTGCCATTAACTATGCTGGGGACCTGGTAACTTTTAATGTAGATAAGAAGGTATTGAAGCAGTGCACTGTAATATCTATTGGTCTGGGGGGTTTTGAGGTTGCCTACAGATGGTGTTTTGTTTTTTGTTTGTTTTTTTTTTTAAACAAGGGGATGTGTGTGTTTATGGCAGATATCTATAGCAACATATCTACGTCCTGTCATTCTATAAATTGATATGCACAAAAGTCACCTACAAACCAGAAAGTGTTCCAGTGTAATGTGTGCAGCTTTTGTAATTCTGTTGCATAGTGTGCTGAGGGCTGACAGTCATTTTCTTAACTGGTTCTCTCATAGTTATATTATATTTGTACTCCTATAGGTGCTATTATAGGTCCTACTCCTATAGGGGTTGTTTTTTGCTTAGAGTTACTTCTTAAGACTTATTATCTAGCTTTCACAAGAAGATACTCTCACACTACACGTAGACAATATTATAACCTCCATGGTCAAAGAGGAAACTGGTGGAATTAAAACAAATACCTTGCCACACAATTGTGTTGTCTTCTATGTATTAAGGAATGATGAATATTTGGCATGGGACAGGGTAACAATTGCTTAATAAGCCTTGTGTGGGGAACAAGTTAAATATTTAGTCTTAAACAACTGAAGCCTGGGTAGTTAACATTTTCTTTTCGCTGCTTGAGAAACAGCTGATATATTCCCAGTATATTCTTAGCATATCTTAATGGTCCTCCTTCTGATAAGAAAGTAGCATGTGCATGTGGAAGGGTTGTGTTCCTAGCTGAACATGTGTCCAAGCTGGACTCTTTTGGACCAGATGCTCTGTGGATAAACCAATGCTCTGGATAAACCAGTTAGAGCTAATTAATAGCAGGCCATATACCTGATAGGTGCATGATGGATGGATCACTTGATGGGTAAGGAGTTGGCTCAAAGAGTTGAGGTCAACAGTTCGATGTCCATGTGGAGACCAGTGACAAGTGGTGTTCCTCAGGGGCTAGTGCTGGGACTGGTGCTGTTTGACATCTTTGACATCTTTGTGGGTGACAGGGACAGTGAGACTGAGTGCACCCTCAGCAAGTTTGCCGATGGTACCAAACTGTGTGGTGCGATTGACACGCTGGAGAGAAGGGGTGTCATCCAGAGGAACATTGATAGGCTGGGTCCATGCCAGTCTCGTGAAGTTCAACAAGGCCAAGTGTGAGGTTGTGCGCCTGGTTTGGGGCAAGCCCAAGCACAAATACAGGCTGGGTGATCAGTGGATTGAGAGCAGCCCTGCAGAGAAGGACTTGAGAGTGTTGGTGGATGGAAAAGTGACCATGAGCCAGCAGTGTGCACTCAGAGCTCAGAAAGCAAACCGCATCCTGGGTGACGTCAAAAGAAGTGTGGCCGGGAGTTCAAGGAGGAGGTGATTCTGCTCCTCTGCTCTTGTTGTGAGACCCCACCTGCAATGCTGTGTCTAGCTCTGGGGCCCCAACACAAGAAGGACATGCACCTGTTAGAGTGCGTCCGGAGGAGGGCCACAAAGATGATCAGGGGGCTAGAGCACCTCTCCTGTGAGGACAGGCTGAGACAGTTGAGGTTGTTCAGCCTGGAAAAGAGAAGCCTCTGGGGAGACCTTATAGCGGCCTTCAGGTACTTAGAGAAGGCCTGCAGGAAAGCTGGGAAGGGTCTTTTTATCAGGGAGTGCAGTGACAGGACAAGGGGTAATAGTTTCAAACTGAAATAAGGTAGTTTTATATTAGATATTGGGAAGAAATTCTTTACTCAGAACGTCCTGAGACACTGGAACAGGTTACCTGGAAAAGTTGTGGACACCCCATTCCCTGGAAGTGTTCAAGGCCAAACTGGATGGGACTTTGAGAAGCCTGATCTAGTGGGAGTTGTCCTTGCCCATGGCAGGGGGGTTGGATGTAGATGATTTTTAAGGTTCTTTAGTGTGTGGAAGAACTCCAAGGCAACTATTTTTCAGTATGTTTGAAATAGAATTACTGGTGATGTGGTCACTCCCTGCTACAAGCTCTTTGATGCATGAGTGTTTTCCTTGTTGCTTTGTGGTGTTTAATACAACATCCATTTTTGAAACTCGAGGGTTTTGTAGGTCCTACTTGGGGTTAGTTTCATGCACTGTTGATGCCCGGTGAAGGTGCCATGTTTAGCTACTCTCTAGATGTTTAACCTCTTCTACAGAGTCTGAAACTGGTTGTATCCAGGCCAATAATCAATACAAGAGTAAGATCCATGGTTCGCTCTTGTTTCCAGGGAACTTTCTTGGTCTGCAAAAGCGTGTGTAGGTGGTAATTAAGAGTTTTCTTTGGAAACTGTAGGATGTGTAAGTTGCATCTGAAATTCTATGGTGTAGACTTCTGTTGGATATACTTGGTACAGGTCTGCTCTCTAGGTATTTCTGGCAGGTATTAGCTATGTTATTTTCCTTCTCAGTATTGCTGTGAGTAGTGTAGTCTGCTATATTTGCTATTACCTGCTAGGTGAAGAAGAGTGGTGCTGTAGTAGAATGCAATAGGTTCCAGATTTTTTTTTTAAGAACCAAAAAAACTGTTTGAGACTGAATAAGGATGAGTCCTTGAAGGCGTATTGTTTCTCAGATTCATTCAGTTTCAGGCTTAAACTGGTGTTTTGAGGACAAGAAGTCTACTGTCATAGATCTGACTTAGACTTTTTGTTTGAAATGGACTGGTATCATCCGAATACAGTATTGATATTCAACACAGTGCAGTAGTACGAAGATAAGAGATCTCAAATTAACAAGGATCTGTCTTCATAGATGAGAAGTCAAGCTAATACACAAAAAAAATACTTTTCTGTGCTCCAGCAATAATGCAATTTTACAGTGCAAACTGTTCTCAGACTGGTTTTTCAGTCGGACAACTTGAGATTGAAGTACTTTTGTAATGTAAGAGCTGGAATCGCTCGTTATAAAACATAGAGGCCCCTCTCTCTTCTCTCCAGTGTAGTTCCTCGTTGCCCAAGCATGTGCATGTTTTTATACCAGTTACGTGCATGATGCAAATGATGATGAGAGTTCAGTGTGTACCTGGCTAGCAAAAAGAAAAAAAAAAAAAGAAAAGAAAATCTGGACTTTCCAGGACTCTTTCAAACAATTCTTCCAAAACAAGACTTCTCTCTTTTAGTGCTCTGTTACCCCAGGAGGAATCTGGGGTGTTTTGGTTCTTTTTGGAGAGGTCCTCTTTAGAATACCAGTGTTTAATTTCATAACATAGCTGTTCTTTTCATCCAGGCCTTCCTTTGTTTTCACTTAGTGTAGAACATTTTGTGTTCATGGAGGTACATCCTATTGCTTCTTTGCCTTGGTCTGTGAGTAAGTAGCATTAAGTTATAAGAGAAGCAAGGTTTTGCAGGGATAGAAATATCTTTTGACTGATACAGTTGGAAGAAGAGTGGATAGGCTTTTAGACACACAGTGATGTCTTCAGGTTTACCTTGGGTCAGAAAACCTGCCCATTTTTTCCAACTGTGTCAGCGCATCGAATAAAAGTTACTACCCTTTTTGGAGGCTTTGCTGCTGTTGTTCAGTAGGTCAGAACTTTCTGTTCTGTTTCTGTGCCTTTTGGCCACCTCAGCTGCTTGAGCCTTCTTTCTTCTTGGAAATGCAGTCTAATCTCTGCTACTAATCTTTATATTGTTTCTCTTCTGACAAAGCTTCATCAGTACTTTATAACTGTGTGACTGGAAAGCCAAGAAGAAAATCTGAGATCAGGTGCGAGATTGTACATTGCAGGGCTGTTTAAGGTCAGCTTCGGCCATTTCCCTGAAGCTTTCGGCCCTTTTGGAGGTGGGCAGGGACAGTGGGGTGGCTGACAAAAGGTTGAAACACGTTTTTCATAAGCTTCTGTTAGATGGGTGTTGCTTACCATGGCCCCATTACAGCTGGCCTTTATCCTAGCATTACTCAGATGCAACCTTCAGATCTCAAATCCTTTGGGTTATGAAAAACAAAGACAGTGCTTGTGATTATTTCCAGAAATACGAAAAATGTCCATCTGTGACAGCCTGCCTTTTCTCTTGCATCCAGCTAGTAAAGGATCTCATTTGAGTAAGACTGTAGTAAATGTAATATAATTGTGTAGTTTAGGCTTCTTCTGCATGGGGGCGATGACTAGTTCAGATTTTTTTGTCCCCACCCAAGGATGCTCCCTTGTATTTGCTGGCAGGTATGATGAACTGACGTACCTACTAAGCTACAAGCATGCCTGTGGTTCATGATGGCAGGACAACACAACAGGTTATATCAGCAAAGGCATGCTGTTTTCTCTAGGCAAATCATAACCTCTGCCAGGTCTCCGTGGTATAGATGAGGAAACAGTTTCCACCACAGGCAGCTCTTCAAAATGGACAGCACATCTCTTCAGTGGGCTGTAGTTCAGTGGCCTTTTTTCCTCCTGTTCTGAAGATACTTTCAAGATTGTTCACACATGTAAGCGCTTTTTAAATATACAGTTCTTCAGATAAGTTTAGAAAGAATGGCTTCATTCACCATCCCCAAATCTGTAGCTAGCTGATGTCTGAATCATAATTTCCAAGTCAGCGTTGAGATGGAAAAAGACAGGAGTCATTTGTTTAACAGTGGAAGAGAGAAAAAAAACCCTCTGTCGTATCTGGGTTGGTTTTGAGCATCTCTGCCCTTCTGTGATGCTCTCTTGTGGGTGAATACACAAGGACTTCTCTCTGCAGCGCTTGACCATCACAATAAAGTTGCAGCAGATTACAGCAGGGTCTCTCCCAACCTCATAAGTGCTTCCTTTTTTTAATTTATTTTTTATTTACACTGTTTGAAGTGCTTTTCTGTCTGTGTCTTCAAGCCAAATTATTATAGCAGAGGAAAACAGTGTCTAAGATGAAACTTCAGGCTCTAGCT